GAAACTGGAAGGACAAGCATATGCACAGCAGCAAACAGAACTGATTCCTTTTTACTGTCTGGTTATGCAAATACATTTATGTTACCAAACTACTGTAGTCTTTTCTAAAAATTTGGGCATCAATTGTGGTACAGCTGTGCCCACACTTTCAGCTGCAGGCAGTCAGAGACAGCATCAAGGACTTCTGGTATTTAGAGCAAGAGCAGAGGAGACGGCTGCTTCACTGAGGGTCCACCTTCAACAGGTCACATATTTGGGAATGGTACTGAGAGGAGTACAGGGGAAAGGCAAGGGGGAGGCTCTCTACTCACCYAAGGGCATTTTAGCTATTGCTGGTCATCAAGGAATGTAGTGAATGGCTCAGAAGCTTGACATGTTTTATTCAGGATCCTGATGAAGAACAGAAAAGGTTAACAGAAAACTCACAATTTCAGGGAGTTTGAGTGCAAAACTCTGCAAAAGCCTCAGTGGATGTGTTAGTGTTTGGACACAGATACTTGCTAAAGAAGGTCCTTGATTGTAAAAAGATGGAGCACTTCATTGAACCTCTCACTTATTAAGGATATGTAATATTCCCCAGTTTAGAAATTTGTTTTCTGCRTTCCATTATTCCTTTGAGTGATTTCTTAAATTATGTTTTGTCCTACCCAAGCCTGACAGCCTGTATTATCCCTAAGTAGAGCAGTTTGAGTGAACATGACAGTTACTTCTGGCATTCAGTGTGGCAGAACATGTATTTTATTCCCTTAATCATTACGCTCCAGATGCAAGAAGTGCCCCACATCAATGAGGGGAGAAGTCTGCTGTGCAGGTGCTAACTCTGCRAGCGCTTTCTGCTCCTTATCACTCATTCCCCCCTGTTGTTCTTTCACTTTTAGGCTGTGTTTCGGATGCTGTGCCCCAGCAATGAGAATAAAGTGGGTGCCTGCGAGACAGCAGACCCTGAAGTCTGACGGTTGCCGTGCYGATGATAAGATGTAAACTAAGATTGCATAACTCTTGCAGCAAAGAAGTCTAGCTGCGAGTGAGATCCTCTGAGCAAAGCTCATGRGGTTTGATTCTGTCCTCAGATAGGGAAAGCCCCAGTGATGCAGAGTGTCTTATCAGATCAACCACCTGATATTACAAGATTCGCAGAATGCTGTGCCCTTAAGCTAAGGCAGATGCTGAGCGCYGGGTATGCGTTGCACTTTCATTCAGGGATGGTGTAATTTCTTAATACCTTCTCTGTCACTTAGAAACTGTGCCCCATGTTAGAGGGAATTAGAGAGTCATTGTAGTATCTCACCCGTCTCCACTGCTGACTGGGCTGCGGTGAGAATCCTCTATCAAGAATTTCTGGATGTTGTGAATTAGTGAGGAAAAGCCAGACAGGGCCTGTTTGAATGCCGAAGAAAAAATCCAGGGTGCAAAAATGTTTGTGTGCAGTGACCAGGTGTCTGCTCTGGGCTGATGTAGTTAGCACAACTTTACAGGTCTGGGAAAAGAGAATAAATGATTATTGAAGTGACGTATATATGGAGTTTATGACTAGCAGTGAATGATGCTTAAAGCTCTTGGGCCATGGTTTGCTCAAATATCTGGAGAATCCTCCTCTCCTGGTATTTACCTGTCTTCCTGCAATTTCTCTCTGCAGTACCTTACTAATCCAAAGGAACTGTGAGCCTGATCCACTGGCAGATTTGGGTTTGCAGGAATTGTTAGCACTCTTGAGCTTAATCCATTTGTATGGGACTATTGAATATCTTTGTTAACTTAGGAAAGTATTTTCATTCTTTACTGTTCTCTGCATTTTCACACTACTGTGACAAGTATGAACAATTCTTGATTTGGAATTGCTAGGCTAAAATTTCYTTACWGAAACATGTCACAGACCCRCTGGCCACTCATTTTGTGTTTGTTTCTAATGTGTCTTTTGTGTTTAGAAAATGAGGTAAATTTTGCAGGAGACCAAGAAAATATACRCGGCTGGTTATGTTTGAATTTGTATCCTGTCCTGTTACTTGTGGGAATAAATCTGGTTTGATTGTGGATGGAAGTTTCAAAACCATGTGGAGAATCTATTCCTTTTCAAAAATCCTTGTCTAAAGCCGTGCTACAGGCTTGATGTTTTCCATCCACATCTTGAAGCACTTGCACAAAGTGGCAGTGCTGGAGCTGCTGGTCACTCCTTTCATTTTCCATAATCTTTTGAGAGAAGTTTCTTSGAACCCAAGCTGGATTTGAAAGTGGGGTGAGGACCTAAAATTATTTAGATGTCTTTGCTCCCTGCCAAGTAATCAGTCGACAAGGTTTGAACAAGCCAGATCAGCCTGTATCTGAGGCAACTGTTCTCTACAAATCTTTACTGTGTGCTGCATCCTCACTGTTTCTGCCCTTGCTCTCAAGCATCTGGGCTGCCTTTCTGTGGTCGAGTTGCTTTCCTAGTCCATTGATCTTGCAGGACATCTTGTGGAAGGCCATTTGCAGACTTGTGTGATATTCATCTGCATTGCAGAGSCTGGGTTTCTAGAGGAGTGAAGGTAAAAGTTTCTACAAGTTGCAGGTTTTTTGTGAGATTTAGGTGTACAAATCACTTGAAAAAATTTTACTTTTGCTCTTCGTTATTAGAATTTCCASCATATTTTTGAGGTTGGCATGATTTCTTTCCTTTGCTTGCATGAAATACTTGCCCCTATCTTTTCATGTATCTGTATTTATACATAGGCTACAAATAAAAGTAGATTTGAGGGCAAACATTGCAGAATATTGCCTGAAGATTGAAGYTGAGATTGTAATATGTTGCTTGAAGGCTGTGGACAATACTGCTTGAACAAAGGAACTCTTTCACTCTGAAAAGCTTGTTTTCTGTAATGACTCTCAAGCCCAATCAATATTTGTTTTACTAACCTGTTGGGTGGATTCAGTTTAAAGTCTTAGTGTAGTTTGTTTGAAGTGCTTTGTACTTGGAAGCTCTGTGAGAGGTAAACAATGCTGAGAGTCACAGCAACAGTGGCCTATTGTATTGAGCAAGTCCCTTTTGTACGGAGGCTGTTGGCCACTTGTGTTGTTTTTGAGGATATCAGCCCATGCTTTTTTCCTGACACAACCTCAAGCATTCAAACATCCCAAAGGTTAGTAAATATTTATCAAGATGCTTTAAAAATATTTTTCTCACAAGGGTTTGCTGGCTCTACCGTGTAGTTTTCTTCTGTTTTAACACCATASTACAGATGGAGGAGGAGGTGAACAAGATCATTGTTCACGAGCATGAGGAGCAGTGCAGCTGTGCCTGATTACATTAAATCATATAATGATGCACCATTTTTGACATATGCAACGTCTCTTTATTGTAAATTAATCACCCAAAGAATCTATTTTCATTAGTTAAAGCATTAGTGTTTTGCCTCTTTATGTTTTGCATTATTTAGAATCATCATGGACCGAGTTGTTTATTTACCTAATTAGCTCCATATGCCTTCCCTGCATTCAGCATATGGCTGCAACTATGCAGGACTCTGTCCCTTCAAGAAGCTGTGCTGGCCCTGGAGGCATCCCTGGGAGAGCTCCTCTGAGCATCTCCATGAGCCTGCAGCCTTCACCACCTTGACTAGTCGTGTTGTGTGGCAGCCACTTTGCGCTTAAAATATACTTTTCCTCTTTAACTGGGGTAAAAGAAAGGAAATATCCATGCCCGCAATGGCCAGTGATAGCAAGGCTCCCCAGTAAGGGATTGTGTGCGGAGGATTAGGGTTCTGCAAAACCCTGGTATTGTCTTAGCTGCAAGGGAGAAGCCTTCTCAAAAGTTGGCTGTGGCCTCMATTCATTATAATTTTGAGGCATCTGTAGTCCTGCCAGACTTTCATGCTTAAAAATGCYGAGCTACTCTCCAAAATAATGTGAGGTTGATGGCAAAATCATGAGAGTTAAAAAAAAATAAATCAGTTCTGGAGTTTTTTATTTTCTTTGATGTTCAAGGCTTCCCATTTCGAAGCCTTTGTCTGAGAATACGGACACTAGAAACTTTGCTTTAAATGACAGCTGAGAAAAAATCAAAACTGCAGGATCCCTGGGTCCTGTGACTTTGACTATGACTTGCCCTGCATCATAAATTCAAATATTGCAGCATTTGAAATCCTGGCTTGTGGTCATTCATTGGTTGTTTCCATGAGCACTGCCATGGGTGCACCTCATAAAGCAGCCGTCCTGCTCCTCTGATCCTCCATCTGCTCCTCAGCTGATCATCAGGGGGATGAAATCTACGTGCTCTGAGCCAGGGCAGGGAAATGCCGAGTGAAGGAATAAAGCAGGAATGGTTTGTAACTCAGCAGGAAGGAAAACTGCAGACCTGCATGCAGAAAATATGTGAAAGGGAAATATTAAAAAGGGGSCAGGAAAAGTTTAAAGAGAAGGAATAGGTAACTTAAATGTGGGGAAAGAGGGATCCACCRTCTTCTTCAATTTTTAATTTGTTTCTGAGAAGTGCGACTAAAGCAGCCTTGCTCTGGAATTAGTATTTTCTACATCCTTATCACAGTTTTCATGTGTGTCTGAGGAAAGAACGATTGTACCCAAGCGCTGGCAGCACCTAAGGTATCTGACTGAGTTCAGGCATTAGATATAATTTGGGAGCATAGTTCCCCACTGAATGCTTCAAAACAGGGAAGGGTGCTTAAAGGTGTTCTAGTCAGGGGACGTGAAATTTCCCTGTAGCTKCTGCTTCCTTCTAATTTCATATTCTGTTTCATGAAAATACGAACTGCGAGTGCCCCAGTTCTGCGGCACATATGCCGGGGAGTTAGCAAGGGAACTCGGTACAGCCAGGAGAGCTGTGCCAGCCATCCCTCTCAGCAGTGGAGCACTGCTCTGTTATTTACCAATTTTATTCCCCAAGCCCTCAGAAATTAGGGAAGAATTACTGTCCCTTTCCGAAGGATATCGACGCTCAGATTAAAGACCTTCCTCATAGTTGCACACAAGGTCTGTACTTAACCTGACAAATGAATGTTCTTGCCTTACAGCACAGTGAAAGGTAAGGGGATACCCACAGGATGCAGACATAGGACTGTAGGCCAGGAAAGAGCTGGGGGTGAGTTGAAATACAGTCTTCGAGTGTTGCAGCTCTGCCCCTAGAAGAGTTTAATGTGCAGTTAGTCAATACAGTAAATTTCACCTTGCTGGTCTGAACCACATTTTCTGTCCTGTGCATAAAACATAGTTTATGTTTGAACGTAGGGCAGATTTACCCCATCTATGACTACAAGTTACAAAGTGTACATATATTCGTCTTCCCTTCCTCCAATGTGTCTTTCATCCTTGAGCTTCCAACCTGATCCTCTCGCTCCCCAGGCATGGTGCAGTGGCTGTGCAGCCTTGGCTGATAGGCTGTATATCCATTATTTACCAATTTTATTTGCATGGGCAAYATGATTCATGTTGTTTGAGTGAGCTCATTCCAACAGCTTTAAGCAATTGGTAATATCCCTCAGGCTCTGCCCCTTCCAGTGTTTGCCACCCCAGCAAAAACAAGAAGGCAGCAACACCAAGAAAGACCAGTTTTACTGATTGACCAGAAGATATTGACCTGGGCTAAGTACTGCTGTCAATCATGGGCCATCCCACTTCTACTCCCAGAGAACACCACAGTGGATTGTAGCATTAAATCCTCTCTCTGCAGTTGTACTAAATACCATTCATTTTGGACAATGCACAAGAACTGTTTTTGTTATTCATTACCAAGTCCTCTGAGGATAGGCCTTTTTTCTCTCTTTCTTCTGGTGATTGTTCTAAAACCCTTGAATCTTTAATTGGAATGAAAATTCGCTTTATTGCTCAAGAGTTTTAACAATATAGCMGTTTGAATGAAATGCTCAGACACAGCTCAGCGTGCTCCCTTCCACACTATTCTGATCTCCCCTCTCTCCCATGTGCTATGCAGACATGTACACTTTTCTTGCCCCCTTTATATGTTCTGTTCCAAGACTTCCATGCAGAGCGATGCTGTATAACCCCCACTGCATCAAACAGCTACCTTCTCAATTTACAGCTTGTTCTTTTTCATTGTAATTGTTCCTTGTGTTCTCTCCTTTCTCTAACACCTCCTGCACTGAGGTGCATCCTGCCACTGAGGTCCTGGCACTGTGACTGCCACTGTGGAAAAAACAGGACAGCATTTGCCTCTCCATGTCTGGGTTTTACTCCTGTCTGAAGTGGTTAGAAAAGCATCCCTCAAATGATGACTTGGTTTGAGCTTTCAGAAAGAACAACATTTAAAATGGACTTGAGCACAGTGTCATGAATCTCTGCTTAAGTTAGTGGTTTAACAAAATAATGATCCTTACTGAAAACATGTAAAATATTTTCCTTTTTTTAAAAAAAAKTTATTTCAATAAATCTATCTCACTTTATCACCCAACCTTTAGCAGAATAGCAAAACAGCCAATAGACCCCAATCCTTTAGGTCACTTACCTCTTCTCTCCTGACACATAAGGATTGCTCATTCATCAGATASTTACTTTTCCCTTTAAGTAAAAAGGGACAGGAAAAGTGGAAACAAAGATGACTTTATTCCTGTTTTCTGCTTTCTCAATGCTTTTTGTGCAGGGCTTAAGTGGGAATAGTATTCAGAAAAAAAAAGAAGTGTGTTTGAGTACAAGCTCCTGTTTAAACAGGATACATTTCAGGCTGCCAAGAGGACTTTTACAGAACTAAATACAAGAATATTAACTGAAAAGGAAAATTAATTTAATATCTTGGCAGAGCCTTTTTTATTATTTATTTTTACAAGGGACTATTCATGTGTGCACACGATTTCTCAGCCTTACATAAGTGACATGCTTTTTTGCATCTATAAATATTCGGGTTAGCATATGYGGGACAATGATTTTATGGGTGATACAAAGTCTTATGTTTGGTGCAGAAGGACAGTTCAGATGACTGGCTCGTAATTTTTTTTTTTTTTTTAAATATGCAATCCGCGTGTTTCAAAAGCTGCTTTGTTGTTGGAGAGATGGCCTGGGAAAAGGAGCTCAGCAGCTTTTATTTCGCGCACCCGGGCTTTCACCGTCGCGGCGTCGAGCAGAAAGATGAGTCTGCCCGTGATGTTTACCCACCTTGGGCCCGTGTTTGCCTAATATATATGAAAGGGATCCTGTTATCATCTGGCGGGCATTCCGGAGGAAACACTTTGGGAGCCGCAGCCAGGCAGGGAGCGGGGGATGCTGCCTCCCTCCTTCCCTCTGTCGCTCCGTCCCCCCGCGCAGCGCGGCCGGGCTCTGCCGTCCCTCCAGCACCATCTAGCGGGATAYCCGGGCTGCCGGGGCTGCCGAGCAGGGGAACGCTCCGGTGCTCTCACCAGCGAGCCTGCTACGTCTCGCCTTGCGCTTGTAATTTTCCCAGGCTGGGTTGGTACCTGATGCTCTTGCCATGGGCACCGCTGGACACCGGGGCTCACCGGTGCTCCCGCTCGGCTTTTGCCGCTGYTCTGCCCGAGCTGGGAAAACCGCTGCGCTATTTTTGTTTTGGCTTTCCCATCTGTGTAACACATGTCATGGTTGAGTAAGTTTAATAGGAGGCATAAATAAAGGCAAATGACCACGAAATCCTGAACTCAGATCTGCTGATAATACAGTTTTGCTACTTATCGCCTGATTTGCTCTCAGCTTTTGGTGTGGCTTTACCATCCTGCTCATCGCACACCAAGGCAAAGGCTGTGCCTGTGTCCCAGGGCAGCTGTGCTGCATGTGCCCTGGCCAGAGCAGAGTGTTTATTTAGAGTTAAAGAGTAACATTTGGCCTGTTGGAAGGGAAGATGAGAGAAACAGATCGGTGCAGGATGCTTCTGCAGCAGAGAATATAGGTTGCTTGAAGAGGGAGCAGCTCACCTGGCTTTTGACAGGATAGGGCCCCGGTGCCTGGAATATGGCCAGGGCAAGGACTGCACAAGTAGAGATGCTTCAAAGCAAAAACTGAAAACTGAAGCAGTGTTTCCCCTTACCTTAACTGAAGGGCAGTATTGCCTGACATTCTTTGTAGAATAACACCTGACAGGTTTGCCCTGATGTTGCTTCAGTTTTTCTTGACCTGGGCAGGRGGCGAGACTGCCCTGTAGCCTCCATGGGGATGCATAACACGAGCCGTGTTCCCAGCATCCTGTGACWGGAGTGCACACAATTGTCATGCTGCTGTTCCGCTGCAGGAAGCTGCAGGTTTCAAAGAAAAATCACAGTCACTGTGTATTTGCATAAGGCAGAGCTCAGAGACCTTCTGGCAAGCAAAAATAGAAATGTCTTTCCCCCAAATGCCGAGGAACCAGTGTATTGAATGTTTAGTCATAGCTCAAAGAGACCTTCCCAGCGAGCCAAGTCAGCCTGTTAATAATACGAAGATGCCTTCTAATAGACTGGTCATAGCTGGATCCTGGGTTAAATATACTCAAGGGCCCTCAGGACATGATTAAAAACTTGTAAACCCCCACCATCTTAAGCTGCAATTCCACCACCTTTCTCTCCTGCATTTCCTAAAGAAAGGGACAACAATTCAGAATTTTCTTTCAAGTCACATAAAAGTTCAGTTTTTAGTGCATATTATTAGAAACAAGGGCTTAAGTTTACCCATGGAACAGAAATGATTGTGAATGAGTCAAATTCCCCTACAGACATGCCTCACCTATCATGTGAGGCATGGTTCAYACTGGGTGTGTGCTGTGCTGTACCACTGTCCCTGGTAGCATCAGCTGCCATGTGAGACACACACCTATCCAAATTCACATTTTGGAGGGCTCCAAACAGACATGATAAGCTAATGTTTGATTTTAGCTTCACAACAGGATTTTGGTCTCAAGTAGTTCCCCGATTTGTGCCTGGTTTAATAGGGCACACCAGCAAGCAGTAACTTCTGCTTAACCTTGTGTTAGATTAGAGATTCAGGCAAACAATCTTTTGATAGATTACAGATGCAGCAGCCTCTCCTGACTTCGCTGAGGTTTCTCATGCTTTGAGACCTTGCCTGATTCAAGCCCACAAACATTATCAGTTCCCTGATCTGTTATTTCTTTGTTAATTCAGTAGTAGTTTGGGGAGTTGTAAATTGTCATCCAGAATTTCTACCAAATCACTTCTACCCTGGATTACTGATCTGTTTTTGCAGATCTGGCTGAGAAGGAAATTTGCTTCTGAGCAGCTGCCAAACAGGGCATCTGTCAAGAAATTTACATACTGTTATATTTCTGTAGTTCTGTACTCTATGTAAATAATATTTGCCTCCTGGCATCTTCCGCACAGAAGTGATTTCTTCCCTGTGGTTTCTTGCCAGAATCTTGGCCATTTCAATAATTGAGACTCACACTGAGACCTCAGAAATGTTAATACCCAAAAGCACTGAAATCACAGAACACTGCATGAWTAAGACTGTTCTAAAAACTGCATCAACAATCAGACCCAGCATATCTAGAGAAATGTTGCATTTCCTTGCCCCAGTTCTGCACTCCTTCATAAAATAACAGATGGAATCTGGAGCCAACAGCTTCTCAGTTGATATTTGCACTCCAGAGGATCATGGAGCTCGTTGGCCAGTACAATTATGCCCATTCCATTTCACCCAGCACCAGAATAAAGGGATCAAGGGATGCACGGGAGTGTTGAGAAGGTAGGCTCATCACCAGTTTCACCAAACCATATGTAATGCAAAATATCCCATTACCCACAGCCAGCTAGTACAGAGCTCCTCCAGCTCAGCTCAGGAAATAGCAGCAACCTGAGAGTCAGGAATTTATAACCAGCTCCCAAAGGGTCTCTTTAATCTTGATCCAGGAGAGAATTCGTCTCCAGCCTTTATCAGCAGGGTCTTCCCAGGCAGGTCTGATTCCAGTCTCAGTGAGTGCTGTATCAATGAAACCCTATGTACATCGAGGCAGCTAAATAAAGCAGGTCCAGGGAGCAAGCTGGACTGCAGATTGCCTTTGCTGYCTGATTATTAGCACGCTCCTGACACGAGCCAGGGAAAAGTGTGCACGTGGGCTATTCCCAGCTGTGTGGTACGTTGAAGGCTGTGCTGTCTGGCTCCTTCCAGCTTCTGTGGTTTGCTTAACTCCATCCCCTGGCATTGTCCTCCCAGGCTTTGCACCCTTGAGGGGCTCCCTTGTGCCTCCCTGCCCCAGGGCATGCAAGGTAGAACCTCAGCATCTCGCTATGAAATCTCAGAAGCTGCAACACATAATGTACACAATTTGAAATGAAATAAATAACTGAAAAATAGTAATTATGTATTAGACTTCAGGGCATCTGTGGAGCCTATGAAAGATTCTGGAAAGTGTTACATGCTGTGGTTAGGCCATAAAAGGTCCCTAGTCCTGTTTGATTAGCTTTATAGTCAAAGGTGTTTGCATTAGAAATGGTGTTATTATGTTTATCATGTTCTAGACAATGTGAAAACTCGGTGAGCTGTGTAATTCACAAAAAAAGCCCRGCACCAACATATCACCATGCCCTATAAACAAGTGGAAAGATTGTGCAATATAGGTGTCTCTCTAGTTTTGTGTAATATTTCATATTCTCTCCCATGTTAGCTGTCCTGGTAGTGGCCCATTCGACTTTCAAATGAGAAGATATTTTATTACTTAAGTAAATAAATCACAATATTGTCTCTCTATCTTGATGAACTGTTTTCTAATGAACACGTGCATGTTCCATATTAATTGAGGCTATTGAAGGGAATTGAGTCCTCATATTTTTAAAGCTGAACTGAAAGGCATTCATAATTCATTCTCATCAATTTAGCTTTGCAGGAAAAAAAAAGTGTGAGAGAAAGGAGTTTCTTTGTTTTTTTCATGCCTTTTTGGGAAAGTAATTTTTTATATGTGATATGCTGTGAGATACAGGGAGCAAGTGTTTAGAGAKAGAAGTATGGAATACATACACAAAATTACGCTGCTTTGAATTTTAGCACTGCAAACCAAACCCATTGACTCTTAGTGAAACAACTTTGGCTTTACAGGGCCATTTTTTTCTGGGCTGCTAAATCTGAAATCTGAAAATGCAAGGCACCTCTGGGGTAAACGCATAACAAAAAGAGGTGGGAATATAAGTGGAAGCATACTGTTAGTTCTCTCCACAAGATCTGTGTCCACGTCAAGATCTACTAGACACAGATCTATTTCATTTTCCAAGTGTTTAAAAGAGGCTGATGGTAGAAAGGTTTTTATGGGACCTCCTTCCCTTCTGCTTCAAGATCCTCCTAGCCAGCTGAGCTCTGGGGGTCAGCAGACACTGTTGCTCTTTACATGACTTCCCAGGACACAGAAGTTTTGCTGGGATTCTCTGAATGACGGCTGAGAAGAATGCTTTCTTGCTGTTACATAATTATATTTTTCTCCAGAGGTTGTTTACAGTAAATTCACACAAAGTAGTGAACAACTGGCCCTCATTATTTTCATAAAAACTCCTGCTGGATCAGATCATGCTAGCAGAATCACTTCAGTCTTCTCTTGCTCTTAATTAGTTCATTTCTTCAGARGGGATTTTATTTTCTTCYGCAGTTCCACTGTATTTCRTACAYATATCCTGGTACAAAAAGAARTCAATTATTTGAAGAAGTTGCTTAWTTCAGGAGGAAAGATCCTTGTTTAAGTGGGCTTTGATATGTTAAGAAATGAGCTAGATGCTACTAAGTCAATAGCGTTTCCAAACATATTCCTTGGGCGCTTAACAAGGTTTAGAGAGGTGCCATGGAGGTGTATTTGTCTGCAGCTGGGTCAGAATTATTGAAATATGTCTATCTGAATCAGAAAATTTAATTCCAAATTATGAAAGGAGTGCAAGCCTTCCTTTTTGAACAGCACCTACCCCTGCACTCCCTTCTATCAGCTTGCAGTCACTTTGTTCCCAAAATATTTCCCTGTTCAGGTCTTCTCCTGCTCTAGTGACTTTGTGAGGGTGTCTTCCCTGCTTCTTCCAACTGGAATGTGAGGCAAAGTGCCTTTCCACCACATACTTTGGAAACTTTGGAAATCAATCATTCATTGGCTTTGCTAGGTGTTTTATTAYCCATACCCCATCTGCCACCCTTCACGGGAATTAGATTTAGTCCCTTCTGAATCCCCAGTAAATGTGCAATGACTGGAATGTCTCCTCTTTCACTGTGGATTTGGGCTGCCCATTTTCTATATGATCCTGTTCTTCAGAGMTGTGGTCTCCTCATCCAAGGAAATGTGAACAGTAGATTGAAAGAGTGATTTAGGGAAAAACTGGCTTCATTGGGCATTGTATCCCTGGTTACCTTAAAAACATGTCTAATATATTGGATTGAGTGGAGAAAAAAATATTAGTAGAAGAGTGATCTTTTTTCTTCCCAAGGTGTGTGAACTGGAAAGCATTTGAAATTCTTCAGTCTCATGTCAACAGCAGCAATAATTGCTCAGACCTGCCACCAGCAGAGCCCCATGCTGTTGTGGGCTTGAATTGCAGCAGCTCCCTTTTGTGTGAGGTGGGCTGTCCTCTGTCTACAGGAAT